TCTCTATTTAATTTTCTGGACTTAATCTTCCAACATAGAAAAGCCCTGCAAACATTGTCTGATCCTGCCAAACTAAATCTGATATTCCAATGTTTGCCCTTTTTTTTTCTTCCCTGACACTTTCAGTAAAAAGTTCAAAGCTGGGCTCGCGTCTTCTTTCTAAGCAAAGCAGCCAAAAAAGAGTATCTCGGAAGGTTTGTTTATTTGATTTTGGAAAAGACAGAGAGCTTGTAAAAAGGAGGAGACGAAGTCCAAATTGGATTAGACGAGCTAATGTTTTATCCAGTCTCTGTTGCATCCCTTCAGAGAGAATCTCACTTCATTAAAATGAAATTAGAGCAGCTGCAGCATCTTGCAGATTTGAAAGGGATTTATTCTAACGAGGGAGCAGGGCAGAATGGGAGGGGGGACACGGTAGAAATAGCTGCCCCCTCAGCTGGTTGTAACATGCTGATACCTCTCCACGTAGGCATTTGGGACTGAGAGGAACACTACTTTCTTTCTTCCCACACCCCCCCCCCCCCAATTCCCGCCCCCTTCCTTTTTATGAAATTCACCACTGGAGAGGCAGGATGGCAGGAGAGGCTGTGTAATCCAAGAGTTAACTCCTCTGGCTTCAGATTTCGGCTCACTTAGAGCAGAGGTGGAGAATGATAACCTCTTTATGACTTGTGGACTTCAACTCCCAGAATTCCTGAGAGATTTAACCTGGAAATAAGGAGAAACTTTCTGATAGTGAGAACAATCAACCAATGGAACAGAAGTTGCCCTCAGAAGTTGTGGGAGCTTCATCACTTGAGACTTTCAAGAAGAGATTGGACTCCCGTCTGTCAAAAATGGTGTAGGGTCTCCTGCTTGGGCAGGGGGTTGGACTAGATGACCTACAAGGCACCTTCCAACTTTGATTATCTATTATCTGTTATCAGTGAGAGTTGAAGTCCACAAGTCATAAAAGGGCCATAGTTCTCCACCCCTGATGTCAGGCTACAGAACTTTTCCCATTCAATCAACTAGAATGAACTTCTGAAAACGTATCAAAACATATCAAAAGGAATCCTTTATTGAGATGAGACAATTCATGTAGGGGTTTAAAGCAGTGTCTAAGGTCTCTCAGGAATACAGAGATAGATAAGGGAGTTTAAAACCTCTCCCCTTATCTTGATGTATATTTAGTAAAACAAAGAGCCAACATGTTAATTCCCCCACCCCCTTTTTAGAACAATCTTTTTCAGAGTTTCCCAAGGCATACCTAATTCCCCCACCCCCTTTTTAGAATGATCTTTTCCAGAGTTTCCCAGGACACATCTCACTGTGGAATTTTTATGATCTCTTCATCTCCTGGCTGTTTCTCCCAGAGGTGATAGGTTCCAGCCATCTGGGTTTCATCCCTCCATTGTATCATGTGTAGGTTATACAAATTCAATATAAGATTAAATATATTCAGGTTACATCAAGAAAGATTTCTTTATCAGTCTCCCCCAGCCTTTCCTTCTTCCATTGAAGAAATGACAGATACATGGATCTGACATCTGACTTAGAAAAACCTTTCCCTGCCTCCACATGTCATAACCTGCCATTTTTCAACATAGAAAATAGTTTAGTAAAATTGCAGTAAAAGTTAAAGGTTTTCCCTGTCCGGTCACGTCTGATTCTAAGGGGTAGTACTCATCTCTTTTTTTCCTAGCTGAGGGAACCAGCATTGTCTGAAAACATTTCCATGCTCATGACTATATGCTGAGGTGCATGGAATGCTGTTGCCTTCCCACCAAAGTGGTACCTATCTATCTACTTGCCGTTGCATGCTTTCGAACTGGTAGGTGGGCAGGAGCTGGAGCAAGGAACGGGCGCTCACTCCATTCCACAGCATTATGGATTCAAGCCCAGGCTGTCAGCTTTCCAACTGAAAGCTCGGCATCTTTAACCGCTGATCCATCACACCCCTTAAAATTGCAATGATAATCAGGAGGTTATCACTGCAAAATTTTGAGTGTTCCAGATCATAAGGGGCACTTTCCCATCACCAAAGTGGACTCTTTCTCAGGATAATTAGGCTGGGGTAGAAAATAAGTCCTTCTTTGGAGTTAATGAACGTCTTTATTCAAGCTTCATTGGTGCACAGGGAAGGAGGCAAGGAAGAAATGATATAGACATGATGAAAAAGTTTTACAGTTGTCCAATTTTTGTCATATTGATCTATCAAAATACTAAATCTGGATGCCACTTTGTCAGGCATTATTTTAATGTATTTATTTATTTAAGATGAATTATTCTGCCTTTATTATTTTTATAAATTATGCAAGGCAGCAAATCTCACTAATACTCCTATTTTCCCCACAACAGCCACCCCATGAGGTAGGTTAGGCTGATAGACAGTGACTCACCCAAAATCACCAAACGGGTTTTCATGCCTAAGGCGGGATTAGAACTCACAGTCCCCTGGTTGATTGGCTCAAAGTCACCCAATGGGCTTTAAAGTGGGACTAGAACTCATGGTCTCCTAGTGATTGTCCCAAAATCAGTCAGCTCGCTTTCATGGCTGAGACTAGAATTCCTCATCTCCTGATGATTGGCCCCATGTCACCCAGCCAGCTTTCATGCCTAAAGCGGGACTAGAACTCACCGTCTCCTGGTTTCAAGCCTAGTTCCTTAACCACCAGACCAGATCATTTTCAGACAGACATTCTACAGCATGAAGAAAGTGTATATAAAATAAAATTAAACAAGTATTGTAATCACAAAAATCCCCATTCGTCATATTTTTGAACCTTGGAAAATAATCAGTTGTCTTTGTATGCTGTACAATAACACAGTTTACCAATTGTGTGTTATTTATTGTATTTAGTATATTTGGTAGTATCGTGTTTATTAGGATAAAGCAAGGGGACATTCCCAGAAGACAGCTCAAAATGAATCCTACAGGGAGATCTGGTTAATTTTGGGGTAAGAGAGGACCAGGACACCCCAAATGTAGAGCCTAGATTGGGACATTTTAAAAAAAAATCTGGAAAAAAACAACGGCAAAACTGCTTCCAGGCGAATGTACTGACTTCCTGATAACGCCTGTGAGGCTACGTCTAGACTTTTCATCACCACATATTCATTGTGATAGTACATTCAGAATTGATGGCATTGTAAAAAGTGTCAGTGAAAGTCATTTCGTCGACAAAGAGCAGCTGTGAAAACCTACCACCTAGCACTTCTCTACTGTTGCTAAGAAATGCCTATGATCTGTGTACTGAGTTGATTTCAGTTGAGAAAAATCTTTTTTACCTTTTTAGGGTACGTGTCTAGAATGTAAGCTAGCATATGTACCTTTGGCATTCTGAGTATCTTTCCAAAAAACAGTGCTACCTGCTACCATACTAGCCTACTTTCTACCTACGAAGAAATAGATTATAGCTAGGCTTACTCATACAGAACCATCTAACACAGAGATCTCCAAACTTGGCAATTTTAAGACTTGTGGGCTTCAACTCCCAGAATTCCCCAGCCAGCCAACTTTAAGACTTGTGGACTTCAACTCCCATAATTCCCCAGCCATCCAGACTTGTGGGCTTCGGCTCCCATAATTCCCCAGCCAGCCAACTTTAAGATGTAAGACAGAGTCCACAAGTCTTAAAGTTGCCAAGTTTGAAGACCTCTGATCTAACATCTAGGTTTTTCCCTTATTTACTGCCATTGATACTTCTCTGATAATAAAAAAGTGCAGATAATCCTTGAGTTAGGATTGTAATGAAACCTGCCCATCAGTGTTGTAACTCATGATGGTTGTAAAACCGACCCAATTTTACAACCTTTTTTCTGGCAGTTGTTAAATGAATCATCATAGTTCTTAAGTGAAATCCCAGTTATTCAATGAATGTCACAGTCATTAAGTGAATCAAAGCTCGCTACAGGTGTGTTTTTGCCAAAACATGGAAGAAAATGTTGGTTTTTCAGTAAAACAGTTGTAATGTAGAAGACAGCAGGATGCTGCAGCCATAAATGACTGGCTGGACTCCCATGTCCCCAAAATGCAAGCACATGACTGTGAGGATGACCCAACCATCAGAACCTCAAATCTGAGTCTTAAGTACTTATCTGATAGGTCCATTAGAACTTCGAATAATCATTAAGTTACCTGTCATGAGTTGTGCTCATTTCAGTTTCATATTGCACTTTATCATATAACTCATTATCATTGCATTTAGTTGAAGTTTGTATCTTGCCAATATGGGAGATTCAAAGGCTGGAGTGATTTCTAATGTTCCCAAGGCCATGCTCCAGTCTAAAATTAACAGTAGCAACACAAGAGGTAGCATTTATTTCTCCTGGGAAGAAAGGTAAATACCCATGTCCCAGGATAATGTTGCAGAATCCAATCTGAGTTGGTCAGCGGGACCAAAAGTTTATTCTTACAAGCTTTTGGGCTTCTGCTGGAGATCATTATCAGAGAACTTCTGTTTCTGCAGAACATGTGGACTGGGCTGTTGTACACGTATTTATATGGTTCCTTGTTGTGTGCTGTTTTTAGTTATTAATTAGAGTGTTGATGGCTGGCTATTAAATTGTTAGTTGCTGTTTCCTTGTGCCAATACGCCCTTGGCTCCTAAATACCTAGTAACCTGTTGGTAAATCAACACTCTTATTGACTGACAAGGGATCCATTTCCCAGGCTTCAATCATTTCTCTGGCAATTTTTGTCCCAGCTCAGCCAACAATCACAGTAGCTGCTAAATTGAATGCATGTCCTTGTTGATTGCAAAGTGAGACTCCCAATGAGTTTGCGTGTCCTCATCTAAATGCTCACTCGTTTTTTTCACAATATGGTGCTTAGCTTCCATTTATTATTTCTCCTATTTGTGGTCAGTTCTACAGATCTGAAGCCAACACAAAGTATAAGCTCCTGCTCTTGAAGAAAGCATGGCTGTACTTTTCTTTGCTGGGGTTGATTGTCCTTAAGGAATAGGAGATTTTGACATTCAGCTGCGGTTGTTATATTTCAATTGATTTTCTTCTAGCCATGGTTCTGCTTTTTGTGGTATGGATGAAACGGAGGGAGAAGGAACGTCACACGAAGCAGCTACTCATTGATCCTGAAGATGATGTCCGGGACAACATCCTTAAATATGACGAAGAAGGTGGCGGAGAAGAAGATCAGGTGAGGATTGCCCCAACTTTGTGAGAAGTCAGTTACAGTTCACAATAATGCAAAAGATTTGAGATGCTGTATCTGAACCATGGTTACGACACTTATAGCACAACTCTAAAATTTCGATTAAATTGTTGAGAAATTGATGACGATTTTAAGGAGTTGCAGCTCAAATATATCTGAAAAATGAGTGCTATAAAAACACAGTTCTGTATTCATCTGTCACCAGGAATAGAATAGAAATAGAAAGAGGAGAAAAGAAATAGAGTAGAGTAGAGCAGAGCAGAGCAGAGCAGAGCAGAGCAGAGCAAAGCAGAGCAGAGTAGAAATAGAATAGAATAGAATAGAATAGAATAGAATAGAATAGAATAGAA